TACAAAAAGGTAGCCAGTGGTCCTCATCTGAGCTGGTACCTGAGATTTAAATTCGTCTTCATAATAAAGTAACAGGCATGGATGGATTAATTATGACAGCTAAGAAAAAGCAGTGATGAAGAAGAAAGTTCTAGAGGAAAGATGGGAAGAGACGGTGGTAGGTGGAGCCTACGGGGAGAAGCTAACTGAGAAATTCCCTTTGGTGGGAAAGTTGGGGGATCTAAAATGTCTTATCTTCAGTGTCTAAAGTTCTTTGCTGGTCTTCTCTGCAGTTATCTCCCCCACTATCTCTCAGCCCTAGGATGGTCTCTTTCTCAGGATGGTTTCAGTGGTGTCTGGAGTATGGAAAGCCTAGGAGTGAGGGCAGCATGAGGCAGAGCAGGACAGAGAGTAGAGTGGCCACCAGAGCCAGAGTCATGCCCACGAGCCCGAGCTGGTAGAGAGTACAGCTGGGGCACTGAATGAGGAGTGATTCCACTCATATCTTCCCTTGGTGTGATTCCATCCACATCCACCCCTTTCCATGCCCCCATTTGCTCCCACAAGAGAGAGGAAGGCCATGTTAGCAGGGACATGAGTGGGGGGGCGGGGGCAACTCAATCCCCCATTTTGTATATAGCACAATCTTGAGTCATATTTTTCCAGCAAAGATAAAACACTATTGTATTGTTTAGTATTGCATTGTTGAGTGTGGTTTTTTTTTTTTTTTTTGAGACAGAGTTTTGCTCTTGTTACCCAGGCTGGAGTGCAATGGCGCGGTCTCAGCTCACTGCAACCTCTGCCTCCTGGGTTCAGGCAATTCTCCTGCCTCAGCCTCCTGAGTAGCTGGGATTACAGGCATGCACCACCATGCCCAGCTAATTTTTTTGTATTTTTAGTAGAGACGGGGTTTCACCATGTTGACCAGGATGGTCTCGATCTTTTGACCTCATGATCCACCCGCCTCGGCCTCCCAAAGTGCTGGGATTACAGGCTTGAGCCACCGCGCCTGGCTTGTTGAGTGTTTTTATGAACACTTCAATGTTTTCGATTTTCTTTAGAATATGCATGTAGCCTGTACGATGTTACCTTCCATTACCAGTTAATGTTTCGTATGTTTATGTCTTTCTCTGAAACAAAATTGAACATGCTTAAGGACAAGGAGATTTGAAGCCTCGTTGAATCTGCCAGTGCATCTAGCACACAGAGCATCTTTAACAGATATTATTTAACAGGATATGGAAGGCCATTAAGCTCCATAGATGAAAATAAATGTCTATTTTGTTTTTAAATGATAATTTTTACAAATGCAGTCAACTAAGCCCAGGATCTAGGATAAGACTGCCTAAATATGAAAGTTTGTTTGTTTGTTTGTTTATTGAGACAGAGTTTCGCTCTTGTCTCCCAGGCTGGAGTGCAGTGGCACCATGTTGGCTCACTGCAACCTTCACCTCTGGGGTTCAACTGATTCTCCTGCCTCAGCCTCCAAAGTAGCTGAGATTACAGGCACTTGCCACCATGCCCAGCTAATTTTTGTATTTTTAGTAGAGATGGGGTTTCACCATGTTGGCCAAACTGGTCTAGAACTCCTGACCTCAAGTGATCCACCTGCCTTGGCCTCCCAAAGTGCTGGGATTACAGGAATGAGCCACTGTGCCAGGTCTATTTATTTTTAATAGAGATGGAGTCTATTATGTTGCCCAGGCTGGTCTTGAACTCCTAGGCTCAAGTGATTCTCTCGTCTTGGCCTCCCAAAATGTTGAAATGATAGGTGTGAGCCACCATGCCCAGCCTGTGTGAAGGTTTAAAGGCTGTTTCCACACAACCTGTGTGACCTTGGGCAGATTACTCAACATCTCTGTGCCTCAGTTTTCTGATCCATAAAGCAAGCATTGAGCATTATAACAGCATCTCCTTCCAAGGATTGTTCTGGGGTTGGTAAAATACCCAAAGCACTTAGCACAGTCCCTGGAGGCAGCCATAAGCTGCATGCTTCCTCACCAAAGGGGATTTCTCAGTTAGCTTTTACTTTCAGGCTCCACCTACCACCATCTTTTTCCATCCCCCTGCTAGACCTTTCTTCTTCATGTTGCTATTGTTTGTCCAGCCTCACACTCTTGCTTCAATGACACCATCTAATAATTCCCTAATTGTGGAAGCATGTATACTTTCCTTCCTTCCCAAGTGTTGACTCCTTGAAGGGAAGCAGTTGGCCTCCAATCTTCCTGCCCCACTTCTCTTGCAGTATTATCTGGAAATGCTTTATGAATTATACTGAAAGACCTCCAGCTGCTGGCCCATTCTTAACGGCAGAAAGACCAGTTGCTCCAGTCCCCTCGGCCACCCGTCTGAGCTGAAAGGCAGAGGCCCTGAACACTTTAAGTTTGGCAGGCCTCATAAGAACCCATCCTTTTCTTTCAAGGAATTAGGGTGTCTGCTTTAGGCCTTCGAGTCTCTTACAGGTCTGTACCAATGATCTCCAGGGTGGGATATGTACAACACAGATGATCCCCCACAGATATGGGGAAGGCAAACTTAGAATTTTTTTTATGGCTATCGGAAAACTATTTTTAATATTTACTGCTTTGCAATCTCCATTTTTATGTGTGTTATACTAGACAGAATTTAATAATGTTATATATGTCTTTGATATCTAAATAAAAAGACATAGACACATATTAAAGGCATTTTTCTCCTACAGGCAATCGTGATGCAGTTTCTGTGGTTGTGAAAATGCGAAGACACAAAATTATATGAATTAAGTATAGACATAGGGGTAACCTTGGTGGGTGCAGAGAAGAGAAAGTTTGTGGCCTTATGTTTAGGAGCTGGAGAAAGATAGCTTCTCCTCCTCCACCTGTGGTCCTAAGAGGTCATCCAAGAACCTCTGGGAATTTCCATAGTATTATGTCAACTGCATGTTTTCTCAAAATTGCTTTAAGTTCAAAGGTGCAGGCTGGGTTGGGGTCTTGGACATCTGAATGTCACAACCTTAGCACATCTCTGCCACAGCTATTGCTAAGAAAAGCCCCCACCAAACGGGTTTCACCTCTGAAGCAGTTAGAAGAGACTGTTGCCTTCCTCATAGGTGGGAGGGAAAAACACTTGTTCATTCTGGATAGCTCTCCACTGAAGGCTTGGAGCAGGGGACAGCAATTTTTTCCTGTCAAGGGCCAGACAGCAAATATTCTTGGTTCTGCCCACCATATGGTCTCTGCCATGGGCACTCCACTCTGCCCTTGCATGGCCCAAGCCACCATGGATGATATATAAGTGAATTGGTATGGCTGCATCCCAATAACTTTATTTATGGAGAGGTGTGAATTTCATATAATTTTCACATCTTACAGACCATTAATCGTCTTTTGCTTTTCTTCCCCAAACATTTAAAAATGCGGTCATCACTCTTAGGTCCTGGGCACTACTGAAACAGATGGGGAGCTTCAGTTGGCCCATGGGCCATTGTTTGCTGACTCTGACACAGAGAAAACACTGTCACAGTAGGGTATTTTTTTTTTTAAGTGTGGGTATCTTCCCTTTGTTTAATGTGGTATAGATGAATTAAGGTATTTTTCTTATTGCAGCTAATTTTTCATTAAGCTCCTGGAAGCTTATTAATAAGGGATAATTCTAAGAGCACATGCATATGGAACAGGGAGTCAACACAATCTCTTTTGTTGTCAGTTTTTATTCAAATTAGGTATCGAATGTCACTGTGCTTGTTATTGTCTTCTAAGATGTGCATAAAAATTAAATTACCTTACTTAATAATATGCAAAAACTACATGCTAAACTAGCTCAACTCCAGACAGGAGTGGATCTAACAGGCTGAAGGGGAACACAATTCTGACAGAAGGAAAAATGGGCATTCTTTTTCATCAAGACCAAGATATGTATTATTAACATTGGGTGGTATTTATGATGTCAAAAATAAATGAAGAGTCTTTTGTGACTTTCTCCCTATGATTCAGTGAAATATTGAAATGTAAATATCAATAATCAACTATAAAAGCAGCCTAGCTTGCCTTGGTTTCAAAACATGTAATTTAGCATCATAATGCAGTTTAAGAAAATTGCTATGCTCTACTTAGTGGTCACTGGAAATTCCAATAGTCTGAGGATGTAGAGATCTGTGTGCCAGGTTCTGAAGCAGAGAGCCAGCTCTGCCAGCCTCAGTCCCTGCTGGTGCTCACACTTATCATTAGGAAGGAAGGAGAGAGCTATGCTGTCTGCAGACCAACAACACAGTCGTTCCAGTTTACTTAGCCATGTGCAGCTTGATAATAAATGCAATTCTCAAATGTTTCCAATTATATCGATTTTATAGTTAAGATAAGTGTTCTCTAGCAATCTAATTATGACATTTGACAAATTATCTTGCAAATGGCTCACTATATCGGAAAACACTTGCGTTCTGTCATGTGACCTGTGGTTGTACTCTACTGAAAATATATAGTGAATCCAGGAGAGCTATATAATTGATCGAACCATTTGCAATTGACACCATCCAACCTTCACACAATAAATTTGTGATTCAGTCTATTAGTGTATATGAAATAAATGGTCTGCCTTTCAAAATATGCTACCTTTTTAGTAAATATGTTTTTGTTCCATGCTTGCCAAATATGTGGACAATATCATTAAAAAAATACTTACCATCATCAAGCATGTGTCTTTCATGTCCTATGAATGACTAGTTCCTTGGAGTACTTACATTCATTAAATAAGTGAATAATCATGTGTTAAATATTAGTATTGCTTCTTTTCATTTTTCTCTTTGGGAAAATGAGCTTGCAATCCCCATTGGCCTCCTTTTATTCATATTATACCAAGGTAGCCTGAATTCAAGTCATATTCTGTTTCTACCATTATCATTACAGACGTTGATAGAAGCAGGTCACAGTGCTTGTGAGGACAGTGGACACACAGACGCACACCTTTCATTTGGGAGTGTTATTTGAGTTCCCAAGCAGAGCCCACCCGCTGTGGACAGGCCACCCACTGGGGTCCTGAATACACACCTGTGCTCGTGCGGTAGGTGCCGGTGTGTGCTGGCGGCAGAGGGTCCCCCTGGCTCTGGCTGAGACTCCTCATAGGGGGCTTCTGATAAACGCGGTCTTCATAGATGGGATCTATGTGATGTTCTGGGGACTGCAGGGCCCGCAACTCTGGGCCCAGGTGCCCATGCTGGCTGCTGTATGAAGCTCGGGACCCAGCTGAAATAAATTAACAGAGGGATGTCAAGGCTCAACCAATCTCCAAACAGAACTTGTTTAATCAAAGACATTCAAATTTTGGGGACAAAATTGTTGAAATCCTCAGGAAGCCAAATGAGTAACACGAAATGGCAGCACTATGTCAGTCTAATCAGCTTATCGGCATCACCCAGCTGGCTGGCTTTGCTACCAAACATGATCTCACTCTAAGAATAATAATGTTTCTGAGATAAACCCACATGGAACAAGACCAGTGATATGTCTTTTCTCAAAACGTAATGGATGTAGCTAGGTTCTTCACTAAAGGAATCAGGTAGGCAGTCAATCCTAAAAATCTCATATTATCCCATAGTCCTTGCACCTTAAATTACACAATAGAAATCATTTTAAATGATGAGCTACAACGGCAAAGCCATCTTGATGTTGTTCCTAAAAAGTGAACTAGACTTTGTTCACATCAGCAGCTTTTCCCTGGGAAATGGATGAACCAAAATGTTTGAACTTACAATGGCCTACATCCCTGAAAGAGGCAGATGCTAAAGAAAAAGGTTTTCAAGTTATATTTTCCTTTACTCTGACCCTCTACATTGAAGCATTTACATTTAGTCTGCCTCCCTCTGAAAAAGGCAGGAATGATTGTCATTAACTGGTTTGATGTATAAATTGGGGCTACACATCACTTTGCTTTGTAGTATTTATAAATCCTTATTTGTGTCACTTCTTTGCATGGTATGAGAAGATGTGTTGATGTGAGGCAATGCTATGGATCAGAGAACCATGAGAATGTGAAGAAGGGAAGCCTCTGCACATCAGGAAACAGACTTTCATGAGGCTGAAGAGGCTGGCTGGACAGACAGGAAAGAGGACCTTGACTGAGAGCCAGTATTTTATCTGAGGCACAGTCAGAACCACTGGAGCAGAAACGTCAGGGAAATCATTTGCACTGGGGCAATAAGATGGCCTTGGGGCATCAAGGAGAGGTGGCATCTTCCATCGTGAATACAGGACACAGACAAGAACCAAAGGAGACCATGGCTGATTTCAGGAATGAGCCTTCAGCTACACCCTACAACTAATCCCCACATGGCACATTGGGATTTAACTGGCAACTGCCTTTCAGCAGCCTGAGTTTCGCCTCTCCGTTCCAGCCTAACACTCTGGGGTGCTGGGATTCCTTCGCCTTGGCCATGTCTGTGAACAGCTCTACTTCCATTCTGCCTTCCTCAGGGACCACTTTAAACCAAAGTCTTCAAAAGCTCAATGTTACATCTGTCTCATCAGGAACAAATAAACCCAAAATTGTAATATTCTTGTCTAGAATATTTGAGAAAAAAAGCCATTGTAAAGTTTTGAAATTGCCAAGAGAAAATTGTTTTACTGGTACATTTAACATGGACTACTTTAAATTTAAGTACACAGAAAACAGTATTTCTGAATAATTGGGGCAGTGGTGAGAACTCCATGAATTCAGTGTTAATAAAAACCACTGAGTATTTTGAGGAGGGAAAAGGGATAGGGCAGACAAGTTCCTTACCTTTCTCTTTCCTGGTAATTAAATAAATTCTGATTTAGATAGCGCTCCGATGAATGATAGACTCAAAATAACTGTTTTGCATAATTAGGTTCGTTGCATCTGATTTATCAAATGCCAACATCACTCTGAATATTATCTCAAGCTTATATTTTCCAGGAATATATTTAAGTACAATATGTTTTGAGTTCCTGTTGACAATTCTTATTCCTGAAGATTCTGAAAATATTGCTAAGGATTTAAAAGTGTAAAACTAAAAAGAAACAAAAACAAAAAAAAACCAGTCCTCACATCCAAATGTAGAGATAAGTAAAAGTTATCCATCACTGGAACCTTTAGAGTTGTGAATTTATCACTACTCCTTGATTTTAAGCCTCAAAAAACATCAAATGATGACCGATGAGAGGATCTGCTGAACTTTTAAGGGGTGGCATGGTCTTAGGGTGTACGTAAATATCCTCTTTTTACATGCATTCACTTTGCATTCAGAAATTTTCATTAGTACCATTAGTCAAATTAATGACCAAGGGTGCTAGGCCAGGAGGAAAAATGTGAGGTAACGTCTACCTAGGTAAGTATCAGACGTTTGATATACTGACATTAATACAAATACAATAACAAAATTAACTATCCGAATAGGATACTATACTTTTTTACGTATTAGAGTGCTCTGAGTATAACTATAAGCTCATAGTGTTTCTCTATGTAAACACTTGTGCAAAATACAGTTGCATAAGCATTATGCATAGTTCTGAATCAGATAAGGCATTTTAAAAAGAACATTATTTACTCTTCCTTTTATCCACTGTGATAAAGTTTCAATTGCTCAAGGGTGGGCACAGTTGTAAGAGAGACACAGAGAAGCAGGGAAAGGAAAAGAGTCAAGGAAACAAAGGTTCAAGATGTCACAGCTGGAATTCATGTGTTCTACCACCCTTGTTCAAGAAAGAACAAGTCGGATCCATACTAACAAGGCCTATTTTATTTGGGGCAATTTCAAGAAAAAATTCTCACATAATCGTTTCTGGGAATCTGCCACAAAATGTCATTATATGGTACATATATTTGCTGATTCAAATAAATATACTTTTGTCTAATAGTAAGTCTCTTTCATCATTGTGGTCTACTTGACAGTGAATCTCAAGCATCAACACTAGACTCAAGACACCATTCATGAGCATTTACATCTTTGCTAGGGACTGGAACTCTGTTCTTATAACAAGAAAAAATGCTGGAGAAAACCCAACTTTGTCTGAAATGTTATAGATGTCAAGGCCAAATGTTCTTGCCAATTATGTTGGTGGAGAACAATTCTGAGAACCTGGCCTTGACCAAGACCCTGCAGGGTGGCAGAGTGCAACCTAAACATGGAAGAGCCAAAGAGAAAAGGGGATGCAGAGCCACAGACCAGACCCACTGCCCTGATGGCTTTCCCCGCCATGATAGACACAATCTCATGTCATCATAATACCTGTGTCTATGAGGCATTTCATGATCAACTACTGCAACAATTCCTACATCATCCAGCATTAATATTTCGATTTTATAATGTGGTTTTGCTCTTCCTGTTTCTTCTCTTCACAGGGCAAAATTGGAGTCTAGAGAGCTCAGGCACTGGCAACTTTTCATATACAGTGTGTTTGGAAATGAGCTTGGGGACTCACAGCTGAAACATGGGTGCCGGGCTTACAAGCTAAGGAAGATTTCATGAGGCAGGAGGGATAAAGGGTATTGGAATTTCCCTACGTATATTCTGTGCAGGCTGCTGCTCCTACAGGCTTGGAGAGTCCCCAAAAACTGGGAAAGGCTTTCAAGTTGATCTAGGACTAGGCCTGAGGCATTTCCTGTATAAGAACTACCACGCGTCCTGTCAGGGAAGCTCAGAGCCATCTCCTCTCCACCACAGCTACAGGTGACCTGAATGGATGCCTGAACAGCTCAGAACCTGCATGACTACCGACCACTTGGCTGTGGGGTTGGTGTCAGGGGAGAGAGGAAAGGGTTCAGTCCTGTGGCAGGGCTGAGGTATGGATTCTAGAGACCTGGAGAGATGGGCAGAAGGGACCACTGGAGAATGAGGGGCACAAGACTCCAGACATCCCCTGCTTCTATGTTGACACCTTTATTCCTTGCTCTCATTTCCATGTACAACTACTATGAGGAAATGTGACAACATGGCTCAGCCTCAAATTCTACACATGAAAGGTGGCCTTGGGGTGTTGGTGATCAATAGCTGGAGGTAAATAGAAATTGTATCTAAAGTAATAATTTTACTGTTGTTTCTTGTGTCACTTTTGCCCAAAGAACCTGAAATAAGAATATATGAATTCTGTCCCAGCTCTGTCTCTAACCAGCTGAATAAACTAAGGAAACTCACTATACTCTTTGATCCCCAGTTTCCTCAAGTATAAAAACAGAGATAATAATATATGCATTGGTACGAAATGGTATTGTTGGAAGATCAGGATGAGAGAGACTATGTGGGAAAGTGCTCTGCAATGGATAAAGCAACATCAAATAGGTGTTCTCACACCACTGAATCTTTGAATCAATAAATTATGTCATCTCATGCAAATACGTCTTTTGATTTCACAAAATAGTTGAACACCTCTCACCATAAACTATTCAAATTTCAAAAACAACATGAAGAGTTCAATTTGAAATAAGCTAAATAAGAACCATTTTTCTGATAATTTTATGAAGTATTATTGCAAAATGTGAATATTACAGTTCTATCTTCTCTTAAAAATATGTGTGCTTTCTAATGGATAACTGCAAAAAATGCAGGAATGAATGAAGTTCATGAGGAAAGGAAACAGTGAAATGACTGCAGAAAGGTGGCATCCTTTTTAGACAGGGATAGGGCATGAATTAAATCTCCAAATTGAAAATAATAAATATCTGCTAATTCAGTAGGAAGCCAGTGACAGGTTGCAGGGAGTTCTTGACATGGAAAATAGTTATAAGGCTGAAAGGGGTACATATGGCTCACCGCCTGTGCCTTGCCTGGTCCTGCTCCACGTCATGTTTTCCTTGGGTCAACAAGGCTGTTTTCATTTGGCCAGCAAAACTATGTATTTATTATTTTCAGAATAATTTGCAACTGAATTTCTATGTACTAGATTTCACATCTATCATTTATAGGTACTACTTAAGCCCTATGGATCTATAAATATATTTATTCGACACATCCACTGAATGCCTGGGAACCTCCAGGAGATGAGGACGTCCTAGTGCTCAAGACAGATAAGGTCCCTGGCTTTGAAAATAAGTATTACATGAAGGAGGACGCAGGTAAAGGTGTTGAAGAAAAATGAGGCATGGCAGTGGGAAAAGAGACAAAGTGTCAGGAGGTTGTAGTGTTTGCCTAGGGGGATCAAGAAAGTTCTTTCTAAGCATCTGACCTTTTAGCAGAGAGCTGCAGACAGTGGGCGAATGAGTGTCACTGGAGGAAGAGCTGTATGGTTCT